TCAAAAAAAAAAAAAAAAGAATAAGTAACAATAAGTAACAGTATTAAGTCCTTTCAGAATACTGAAAAGTGCTGAGAAAAATTCTGAAGAGCCTTGTTTATAATGTGTTACGTTTGAGAGTAAATAATTATCTTTAGTTTTGGTCAGTCTGTTCAGTCAAGTCATGTCTGAACTATTGAACAGATGTGAACAATCATTATACCTTTCTCTTTAGACTTTGGGATATACTTTCTGATTTAAAAAATGGTATTATTTTCTTGCCACTTAGCTTAAGGAAACCATAAATAAATAAACTTAAAATATTTTAAAAACTTGCCTGTTATATTATTACTTAGGCAGATATTCAAATTGATGTGAATTCCTTAAATACTAATTGTGGATTGAAATGACTGAAATGGCTTAATTGCCTAGAAAGAGTATCTGGCCTTTTATTTTAAAAGTGTGATATTTGTATTTTCCCAAATAGTGAAAAGTACACTGATCTTAACTCGATGCAGTGGAGGAGGAAGAGAAGAGGCAAAAATGTGTGTGTGTGTGTGTGTGTGTGTGTGTGTGTGTGTGTGTGTAAATACCACATACACACTAAAGAGCCTTACGGAGACATATCATTTTTTAACTTTTCTTAGAAATTGATAATTTTGTGTTTTATTTTTCTTCACCACCATTGCAGACAAGTGGTGTCATCTTAAGACTGTCATTTCTGGACACCAGAATGAGGTGTTTTCTTCATTTAAGTAAAGGGCGGGGAGCGGAGCGGGTGCAAGAGTTTCTGCCTATTAAATTGACCACCTTCTCCCTTTAGAGTTTTGGGAGGGAAGGTGGCTGCTCCTGTATGAGAGGTGTTCTGCAGTGTGGAAATACAAATGATAATACTCCAAAGTGTATTTTGTTTATCTTCAAAATGTAGGGAAGGAAACGGAAAGGTCAGTTTATAGGTCATATTTTAATGATTTATTGTTGATTCATCCCTGTTGTTTCATATAGCTTTTTTGAGATTATCTTAATAACTGATGAGAAAGTGAGTTCTGTTCACTGGATGGTACAACTCTGGTTTCACTCACAGCAGAGAAGATTAATACTGTGAAACAATTTGGTCTTCATGTCTCAGACTACACACTTGGATGACAGTTGCTTTTTTGGCTGCTTTCAAAATAGTTTTGGATCAAGTAGTGACAGTGGATTTAAGATTCCAGACCATAATTTTGCATATTTCACATGGTATAACTTCTTATGTGAATTTCTTTTTTGAGGAAATTGGATATAGAAGTGGGTGACTCATGATGCTACTATTTTCTTAGGATTGTTTCTAAAGTAGAAAGTGTTTTATGGATTATGATAGAAAATGAACTATTTTTAAAATACTGCCTGAACCTCCTTTTGCACATTGGTGTTTTCCTGAAAAAGCACTAAGACCTGGTTTAAAAAAGTCTAATGAGTAATAATAGGTGAAATATAAATGACAGACTTTTGGGACGTAATTTATAATCTTTTGTGAGAAAATTGATGAATCTGGCAGATATTTTGAAGATCTTTTTGTAATCTTTGAGAAATTTTGGTTAATTCATTCTGAAAATGGATTATTTTGGTAGGCAAAATACATGTGTTAAGAATAGTGATAGAAATAACTTTATTTATTTATTTAGAGACTTAGTCTCGTTCTGTCACCCAGGCTGCAGTGCAGTGGTGTGATCTCAGCTCACTGCAACCTCTGCCTTCTGGTTTCAAGTGATTCTCCTGCTTCAGCCTCCTGAGTAGCTGGGATTACAGACATGCACCACCATACCTGGCTAATTTTTGTGTTTTTAGTAGAGATGGGGTTTCACCATGTTGGCCAGGCTGGTCTTGAATGCCTGATCTCATGATCGCCCTCCTTGACCTCCCAAAGTGCTGGGATTACAGGTGTGAGCCACTGCGCTATTTCACTATGTGAAATTTAAAAGCCTGGAATAGCTTTTAAATTTCATATAGTGACAGGCAAATTATACAGTTTCCTTTGTTAAACATCTTTTTTTGAACTAAAATTGGACTGTGAAGTTTTTTGTTCACTTGATTGATGCTTTAAAGCTCCCTGTGGTCAGTGGAGATGCTAGTTCATGTGTTAGTGTTATTGTCCAAATGCTTTAGTGTTTATAGAGCAGATTATATTGGGCCAAGTTTTTATATCATTCTGTTAAAAACAGTTCATTGTCTTTGATCTCTGTGTAATCCAAATATTGCTTGCTTATAAACTCTAGCGAAGTCCTTTAAGAATAACTTCTTATTCAAATGACTGATATTTTGGTGTGTAAGAGAAAGAAAGTAGATTTTTTTCTTATGTATTTATATTATTATATACAATACTGTTATACATTTGTCTGTATCTCTACATCTTTTTTTTTTTTTTTTTTGGCCAAGACAAATTCTTGCTCTGTCGCCCAGGTGGGAGTGCAGTGGTGTGAATTTGGCTCACTGCAGTCTCCATCTCCTGGGTTCAAATGATTCTCATGCTTCACCCTCCTGAGTAGCTGGGACTACAGTGTGCGCCACCATGCCTGGCTAATTTTTTTATGTTTTTAGTAGAGAAGGGGTTTTGCCATATTGCCCAGGCTGGTCTCGAACTCCTGGCCTCAAGTGATCCACCTGCCTTGGCCTCCCAAAGTGCTGGGATTACAGGTGTGAGCCACTGTACCCAGCCAGCTCTGCGTTTCTTTAAGGCAGGGATCTCCAGAATGTTTTTGGTCGCACTTGAGTAGTTCATTGTGAGTGAACACCAGCCCAGGCCTCTTGTGCAGCTGCAGGAATGGCCCTATGCCCTTCCCTGGGCTTTATACTTCTGGCTGGAATTGTCTGTGAACCTCAGGGGGTTAGAAAAAACTTCTAGGGCCTGCCAGTCCTTGAAATGCCTAGTGGTCATGGAGATGGTGTGGCTTCCTGATGGCATATCGACCTACCTAGGATGGAAGGGGACATTGGGAAGGGCTGATACATTTCCCTTTTCTCTCATCAAACTTATAGCAAGTTTTCTTGTGAGCAAATGCTTAACCACACTCTGCTTCTTACCCAACTTCAGTTATTTAGTTTTTATTGCAAAAAAGGAGGGGTATCTACTTTAAGGTCATTTCTGATATTTGGAAAGTTTAAAATTATTTAAATAAATGAGCATCTCCAGTTTCCTGTACATTTTTTTTTTTTTTTTTTGAGATGGGGTTTCACTCATGTTACCCAGGCTGGAGTGCAATGGCGCGATCTCGGCTCACCGCAACCTCCGCCTCCTG